ATCTTTGCCTTTTATTTGATGTATGCCCTTGAAGAACTTACTCATATTTCTCAACATCAAAACTAACTTCTTTAACATATATATTATATATATATATATATATATATATATATATATATATATACATATATATATACGTGACTAATATAGATACATATTTGTAATATTTTTGCAGACCAATCGTCGAATTAAAAAAAAAAATTAAATAACAAAATTATTTATTTCATTAAACGTTTCGACACTCGATGTGTGTCATCATTCAGTAATCTAAAAAACATATTATAAAAATACAATGTTGATAATAAATATATATAAAAAGGAGAAAATTATACATACCAAACCAGGAAAAACAACAGAAAAAATTAATTATGATGTAAAATTAATTGAACACTAAATTTGTGTAAAATAATAATAACTATTATATTAACACCGAGAAATTGAAGGAGCACATATTGCCCTCCTATATTTTATGTTATTAATAGCGGTGCATTATGAACACTGATCAAGGTTACAAAGCAAGTGTAGTGATGAAGTGGGAGCTGGATGTGAGAAACGAAAGGGGATATATATATATACTCGTATATATATATAATATATATATATATATAATGATATTTACGATAATAATTTTGATAATATAAAACATTATTATCATAATTAATTATGATAATATAAAACGAACAAAATTTTAATCAATATCTTTTCCGTATTTTTATATTATTCATTATTTTCATTAATTTTGTTTTTCCTTTATGTAAGAACTATGCGCATTCGAATACATCTATTTATTTTCATATTCCATGAAGCTTTTCAAAAGACATATCAACGAAGCATTATAATACTCTGACAAAGGCATCTTTGAGTAAACAATATATTAAAACCATCTCATTATTCTTTTGTAAATTTTAATTGAAAGTTGGTAATTCTAACAAGGAAGTAAAAAAGGTTTTCTTTTCAGTCAATTGAGATAAAATTTCCGGGTGAAAGTTTATGTTACCAAGCATGGCAATTTAATTAGAAAAATATATTTAAAATGGGAAAACAAAACTCGGGGTCGACTATTCGTTTGATCTAAAGAAAACGGTCAGGTCATATCAGGTCAGGTCAGATCAGCTCATTATTTAAATATAATAAAATCGAGTAAAATTATATATGTTTGTAATTTGTAATATGTGGATTTTGTGATCACCCATGAAAGCAAAAGTATGATATTGAATTTTGTTATCATCAATGCCTACCTAATCCTATGAAAATCATTGAATCTATTTGACATAAATTTGAAAATTCAATGTTCAT